CTTTTACTCAAGTGCCCAGCATTTCAAGACTACAGATATAGTAAGGGTATATTATCTGTACTGATTTAAGATAAATAATATCTCTAGCAAAGTTTCATAAATTAAATTCAATAGATTTTAAAAAATTATATCATACTTTTAAATAATTTTAATTGTTAAGTACGTATAATTGACTGCAGCAAAAGAGGGCGGTAGTATTGATTCATTTTAAAAAGAATCATACGCGTCAAAATTTTTTTGAAGTTCTTATAATGGTTGTTCAAAATATATGCACTATATTATATAGTTTATTTTGATTTTACTTAAAAATTAAATTAGTATCCTTATTAGAAACATATTTCCAGGATATTGTATAATTTCCTGTATATATCTTCAGATATATTAATATATACAGTTATCAGCGTCATGTACAATTCTGTCACGTTAAGTCACGTGTCAAGTTACGGTAAGTAAAAATCTAAAAATTAAAAAAAATATGTCCAAACCCGGGAACGAACCAGGGACCTATAGATTTTCAGTCTAACGCTCTCCCAACTGAGCTATTTCGGTTTATTTTAGTTATTTCTATAGAAGCTTCTATCTTTATAATTATGTATATTTTCGAAAATTCAATTCACACCTCTTCTCTGGAGACCATGGGAATACTGACTGATTCATTATGCTAACATAATTAAAATATACAAGTATCAGAGTCATCAATCAATTCTGTCATCGTTTGCTTTTGTGAATGGAACAAATACCCAAATATGGCCATTTCTTATAAGCATCGGTGGTTCCGTGGTAGAATGCTCGCCTGCCACGCGGGCGGCCCGGGTTTGATTCCCGGCCGATGCATTTTTTTTTTTCAATTTTAAAACTCATTTATATTATTACTAGCCGAATGACCCGGGCAACGCCCGGGTTTTACCCGATTAAATGTTTTTATTTAAATACTATTCGTTACAATTATAAATTGGCGGCGTGGATGTCACTCTTGTGAAACGTCCCGCTCCAAACTTTGTGTCCGAGAAGCGATATTTTTATAGAAAGATGATCTGGCTTTTGTTTTCTGCTCGAATGAATGTTTTTCTGTTAGAATTTTGTTCCTGCGTACAAAATAATGAGCTGGTTTCACCCGTGGTCTCTGCTTTTTGGAATTTTTCCCGATATAATTTTGTATCTGATAATCTTACATGATACAGCAATATCGTCATCATCATTTTCTGTCTAATAATATATAGTTTTAATAATTGATTTAAATATTTTTCAAAATAGCCTATCGTCTTCCCCGTATTTTTTTTACCTATGTATGGAAATTTTGGTTTGAATTAGTGAACTACTGCGAATTTGTATACCGGACATACAAACCAACAAACAAACAAACAAACATACAAACATTCATTTATATATATATAGAAGATATAATATAAATGAGTTTTAAAAATTGTTAAAAAAAAAATGCATCGGCCGGGAATCGAACCCTGGCCGCCCGCGTGGCAGGCGAGCATTCTACCACTGAACCACCGATGCTTTAAAAAATGGCCATATTTAGGTATTCATTCTATTCCGGATTAGTCCGCGTAAAAAAAGTTCTTCAAATGAAAAAAATAAATAGCCAAAAATACTAATCAAAATGCAGCCGAAAATTTTCCTCAGGTTTATAAAAAGCGACATGCAAAATTTGGTACCAATTGGTTCAGTAGTTTTTGAGTTTATCGCGAAACAGACAGACAGACAGAAATTGACTTTTATATTGTTACGTGTAAGGCCTCTAAACGGTTAAAACCTCCGCCAATAGATGGCGCTTTCGCCGGATTCCCTTGCTGGCTGATGAGGGAGTCGCCGACTGCTGTGGTCCCGTTTCCTGGGGAGGTTGGATGTAAATACGCTTTTGTGTTGGCCCCAGGATGTAGGGTCATGTAAATACACATTGTCTGTTGTTTTATTTAGATTTAATGTTAGTAATAGATGACAATAAAGGAAGTGCTTCAAGTCTGCGTGCTGCCTCCTGTCGTTACTCTGCCACTGCCATCGTCACCAGGCTACTGCTGCTGCTACTACTCTTCTGGTAAGTCTCTCGTGTCCCCCCACCAGTGGTAAGGCCGAGAGATACTGCCAGAAGAAAGGAGTTTCCACAGGAGAGGTGGAACTCAGGAAGTCTTTGGGTGGCCTGCGGGGAAAAGCCGCAAGGAAGAGCAACCGGAGCCCGAGTAGGTGAACCACGAAGGGAAGAAGCGCGTTGTCGCAAAGAACCAGAGGGTAAACACGCGACAATATATATATATATATATAACTTAGTTACTACTTATATAATTGCCTTATTCTGTCTGTGTGAAGTTCACGGATAGATTTTGGTCAGAATGGATAAAATAAAAAAAGTATCAAGGGATGGGAATTGAACCCACGACCTTCCGCTTACCGGGCAGATGCCATTACCACTAGGCTACCCTGGACATATTTTTCCGTTTATAAAGTTAATATATGATGCCAATATATATAATAATTGTATAAACGAATGCAAGACAAAATCACCGCGAATGTTTCTTTTTTTTAAGGCAATTTCTTTTTAAGGCAATTATCGTTTTGCACAATTACTTAATCTTTTAAAATAAATAACAATACTTAAATGAAAATATGTTCCTTTAAATAAAATAAAATAAACTTATAAAAAAGCTTAAATAATTGTGTAAAACGGTATAATATATATAATATAATATATGTAATATATATAATATAACGGTATAATAACGGTATAAAGAAATAATGAGCCTATCGTTCAAACTTATAATTGTAATGAATAGTATTTTAATTAAAACATTTTAAAAACACACAGTTTGGAACGGGACGTTTCACAAGAGTGACATCCATGGCGCCAATTTATAATTGTAACGAATAGTATTTGAATTAAAACGTTTTTAAAATATATACGCACTCGGGTAAAACCCGGGCGTTGCCCGGGCCATTTGTCTAGTATACTAACCGAATGACCAGGGCAACGCCCGTGTTTTACCCAATTGAATGTTTTTATTCAAATACTATTTGTTACAATTATCATATTAGTTACGTATTGTGGACGTGTATAGTTGACAAACATACATACCTACATACGCTGACTTTTATATATATAGGGATAATAATATAAATGAGTTTTAAAAATTGTAAAAAAGAAAAAAAATGCATCGGCCGGGAATCGAACCCAGGCCGCCCGCGTGGCAGGCGAGCATTCTACCACTGAACCACCGATGCTTATAAGAAATGGCCCTATTTGGGTATTTATTCCATTCACAAAAGCAAACGATGACAGAATTGGTGATGACTCTGATACTTGTATTTATAATTATGTTAGCATAATGAATTAGTCAGTATTCCTATGGTCTCCAGCGAAGAGGTGTGAATTGACTTTTTGAAAATATACATAATTATAAAGATAGAAGCTTCTATAGAAATAAATAAAATAAGCCAAAATAGCTCAGTTAGGAGAGCGTTAGACTGAATATCTAAAGGTCCCTGGTTCGATCCCGGGTTTCGGCGTCTTTTTTTAATTTTTAAATTTCATCCTTGACAGAGGCGGCCGATGAGGAAAGACGGTCGTGACTATATATATAATAATAATAATAATTATCATTAGATAATGATAATGATCATAATGATTATGCGCGCGCATCCGTGACAGAGGCCAGGAAAGACGGTCGTGCCTATATATGTTTATATATATACAGTTATCAGCGTCATGCATTCTTTCTTAATTATGTCACCGTTTGCTTTTAATTCAGTGTTAGAATGCTCGCCTGCCACGCGGGCGCCCTGGGTTAGATTCCCGGCCGATGCATTTTTTTTTTACAATTTTTAGAACTCATTTATATAATTAAAATATATGTGTGCTTTTTTCCTGTCTATGTACAGATTTATGGTCTATGTACACAAGTATACAAGTATGTATACAAGTTATTTGCAAATTGCGTGGCAAATTTGCCCTTTCGCTCGCAAGCAGCGCCTCTAGCGGTGAAGATGGGAGGTAATATCAGCTGACATAATGGACATGTAAAACGTGTTTTACAGGACATAGAGAAAAATCTGGAAAATATATTTTTCGGATTTTCAGTAAAGAAAAATAAATTGACAGGTTCTGGGAAAAAAATAGTTGTTTTTTATTCAGAAAATGATGATGACAATATTGCTGTATCATTAATATATACAGTTATCAGCGTCATGCACAATTCTTTCTTAATTCTGTCATCATTTGCTTTTGGTTCAGTGGTAGAATGCTCGCCTGCCACGCGGGCGCCCCGGGTTCGATTTCCGGCCGATGCATTTTTTTTTACAATTTTTAAAACTCATTTATATTATTAAAATATATGTGCTTTTCCTGTCTATGTACAGATTTATGGTCTATGTACACAAGTATACAAGTATGTATACAAGTTATTTGCAAATTGCGTGGCAAATTTGCCCTTTCGCTCGCAAGCAGCGCCTCTAGCGGTGAAGATGGGAGGTAATATCAGCTGACCTAATGGACATGTAAAACGTGTTATAACAGGACATAGAGAAATATCTGGAAAATATATTTTTCGGATTTTTAGTCAAGAAAAATAAATTGACAGGTTCTGGGAAAAAAGTAGTTGTTTTATATTCAGAAAATGATGATGACAATATTGCTGTATCATATTTGATTATCAGATACAAATTTATATCCGGAAAAATTCCAAAAAGCAGAGACTACGGGTGAAACCAGTTCATTTTTAGTATGCAGGAACAAAATTCTAACAGAAAAACATTCATTCGAGCAGAAGACACAAAGCCAGATCTTCTCTTTATATAAATATCGCTTCTCAGACACAAAGTTTGGAGCGGGACGTTTCACAAGAATGACATCCACGGCGCCAATTTATAAATGTAATGAATAGTATTTGAATGAAAGCATTTAATAGGGTAAAACCTGGGCATTGTCCTTTCTTAATCAATTCTGTCACCGTTTGCTTTTGTGAATGGAATAATTACCCAAATATGGCCATTTCTCATAACCATCGGTGGTTCAGTGGTAGAATGCTCGCCTGCCACGCGGGCGGGCTGGCGCCCTGCCTGCCGGGTTCGATTCCCGGCCGATGCATTTTTTTTTTCAATTTTTGAAACTCATTTATATTATTATCATAATATATATATATATATATATATATATACTAGCGGATGTGTACCCGGCTTCGCCCGGGTTTTATCCGAGTGAAAGTTTGCCTAACAATTATTATTGATAATAATTTTCGGGAACACACAGAATATTATGATAATAATGATAATATAATTCGTTACTTCATATATTTATATAATATATGAAATTTATTTTTCGAGCAAACATATCCACTCTCTACTGAATAGAATTTTTAAAAGATATACATAAATAAAAATATCTAGAGATATACTACATGATCTTAGCCAAAAGGCCGAGAAACGATATTTTATATATAGAGATGACCTGGCTTCGTGTGTCTTCTGCTCGAGTGAATGTTTCGCTGGTAGAATTTTGTTCCTGCCTACTATTAATCATTATCTGGCTTCGCCCATGGTCTGCTTTTGTGAATATTCCCCAAAATAATTTTTTAATGCAATCAAGCATGATACGGCAATATTTGTCATCATCATTTCTGACTAAAAAATATTGTTGCTCAGTACTTGGTTAAATATAATTTTTCTTGGTTAAAGTGCGACAAAAAAACTCTTCCAGATTTAACTCTCTGTCCTGTTCAAATTTCAGCGAGATTAGTTACATATTGAGGGCGTGCATAGCCGATTTTTACCCGAGTAAAAGTTTGCTTAGCAAACATTTGTTAAAACGATTCTAGCAAACATCCAATCCCTACTGAATCTATACTTGTCTACACTCTCGATAATTTTTTCCCGGTCCCTTGAAAAATACTCGATAAGTTGAAAAAAAAAACAGTATTAATTGGTCCACTCGGTAATTTGAAGTTAAAGGAATAGTATCTTGCCACAAACGAAGATTTGTAAATAACTGTATTTAGCGAATGTACCCGGCTTCGCACAGTTTTTATCCGAGTAAAAGTTTGCCTAACGAACATTTGTTAAAACGATTCTAGAAAACATCCAATCCACCTATATATTGATTTATAAACGTATATAAATATAAATATTAAAATACAATATAACGCGGCTGATGATTGTAAAACGAAAATTAAAATTATACCGCGAATGTTTCTTTTAAAAATCGAAATTTATTTTCAAAGAGAAATATAAATATTGTTATATGCGTTTAAATATATTTTTGAAATACATAATATTTTGAAAACATTTATTATATTTTAAATAAGATATTGTCACTTTTGTGAATTTGATAATTTATTATTTCTTTTTTCTCAATGAATTATTTATATCAATTTAAAATTTCATTTTTGTTATCATCATCACATACAATGTAATTTTTTATATAAACAAACGATAATAAACAACAACAATTAGGGGCTCAAAAATCATTTATTATGGTTAGCAGCTCCATAAATAAAGATATTTTCACAACAACAACAATTGAAGTTGCATCATTATTTTTAGAAAACAACAGCAAATTAAATTAACAATGTAAAAATATATTTAAACATTTAACACAAAAACGTTACAATTTTTTCTTTAAATATATATTAATATTGAAATGCCAAGTATTTTTACGTCATTGGAATATTATATTACTAAATTTTCAAATTAAATTTATTATACTTGGAAAACATTTTAAGCATTGTTACAATTTATAAATATAATTTCACCAGAAGCCGCTAGAGGCGCTGCTTGCGAGTGAAAGTAGAAAATTTGCAAATAAAATTGCAAAGAATATTTATTTCAAATCAAATTCAAACCAGATATCTTCCCAGTAGTATAGTAAATAACTTCCTAGAGTTTCACGGCGATTGGATAATCTTACCTTTTAAAAGCATCCATCGTGTGAACAAACTAACATTCATTGTGTAAACAAACCACGTGTTAATTATTAACCAATAAAATTCATTTATCGTCGCGACCAGTGCTGCGCCCGAGCGGTAAAAGGCTGGAACTAACGCTTTTTGGTTTTTTATTTATAAAAAAACACATTAACTTTTTTAGTTGTTTGAATAGCCTATATGTTAAACGAAATCTTCAGCTACCTACATGCGAAATTTCATAAAGATTTATTCTGTAGATTTTGCGCAACGCGATAACAAACATCGATTTTGGATTTCATTTTTATAGATATAAGGAAGCATATATCTATCTATATATATATAAATGAATGTTTGTATGTTTGTTGGTCTGTTGGTATGTCCGGTATACAAATTCGCAGTAGTTCACTAATTCAAACCAAAATTTCCATACATAGGTAAAAAATAACGGGGATGACGATAGGCTATTTTAAAAAATATATAAATTAATTATTAAAACTATATATTCAAATTATTCTTCTTAGCTCACGAGCAGCGCCCTCTAGACCGCGTGGCGGACTGACGGCGGGGGGCGCCCATTGGCTGCCGGCGAGCACGTGACTTCCCTGCCCCCGGCCCCCCCCCCCCTCCGAGAAAATGGAACCGTCCGGCTTCCGGCCGGTTGGGCAGTTCACGTTCCCACCGCGCGCGGTCCTGGCGTTGGTGACACAGCTGTGCCAAGTGCCAAAAAAAGCCTCGCGGGTGACCTCCGGGAACTACGTCCATCTTCCATATGTAAAATACATTTAATCGTGTAAACCCGGGCGTTGCCCGGGTCATTCGTCTAGTATATATATATATATATATATATATATATATATATATACAGTTATCAGCGTCATGCATTCTTTCTTAATTATGTCACCGTTTGCTTTTGGTTCAGTGGTAGAATGCTCGCCTGCCACGCGGGCGCCCTGGGTTCGATTTCCGGCCGATGCATTTTTTTTTACAATTTTTAAAACTCATTTATATTATTAAAATATATGTGCTTTTCCTGTCTATGTACAGATTTATGGTCTATGTACACAAGTATACAAGTATGTATACAAGTTATATGCAAATTGCGTGGCAAATTTGCCCTTTCGCTCGCAAGCAGCGCCTCTAGCGGTGAAGATGGGAGGTAATATCAGCTGACCTGATGGACATGTAAAACGTGTTTTAACAGGACATAGAGAAATATCTGGAAAATATATTTTTCGGATTTTTAGTCAAGAAAAATAAATTGACAGGTTCTGGGAAAAAGTAGTTGTTTTTTTATTCAGAAAATGATGATGACAATATTGCTGAATCATATTTGATTATCAGATACAAAATTATATCCGGAAAAATTCCAAAAAGCAGAGACTACGGGTGAAGCCAGTTCATTTTTAGTATGCAGGAACAAAATTCTAACAGAAAAACATTCATTCGAGCAGAAGACACAAAGCCAGATCATCTCTTTATAAAAATATCGCTTCTCAGACACAAAGTTTGGAGCGGGGACGTTTCACAAGAATGACATCCACGGCGCCAATTTATAATTGTAATGAATAGTATTTGAATAAAAGCATTTAATTGGGTAAAACCTAATGGACATGTAAAACGTGTTTTAACAGGACATAGAGAAATATCTGGAAAATATATTTTTCGGATTTTTAGTCAAGAAAAATAAATTGACAGGTTCTGGGAAAAAGTAGTTGTTTTTTATTCAGAAAATGATGATGACAATATTGCTGTATCATATTTGATTATCAGATACAAAATTATATCCGGAAAAATTCCAAAAAGCAGAGACTACGGGTGAAGCCAGTTCATTTTTAGTATGCAGGAACAAAATTCTAACAGAAAAACATTCATTCGAGCAGAAGACACAAAGCCAGATCATCTCTTTATAAAAATATCGCTTCTCAGAAACAAAGTTTGGAGCGGGACGTTTCACAAGAATGACATCCACGGCGCCAATTTATAATTGTAACGAATAGTATTTGAATAAAAGCATTTAATCGGGTAAAACCCGTGCATTGTCCTTTCTTAATCAATTCTGTCACCGTTTGCTTTTGTGAATGGAATAATTACTCAAATATGGCCATTTCTCATAACCATCGGTGGTTCAGTGGTAGAATGCTCGCCTGCCACGCGGGCGGCCCGGGTACGATTCCCGGCCGATGCAATTTTTTTACAATTTTTAAAACTCATTTATATATTACACAAGAATGACATCCACGGCGCCAATTTATAATGTGAATAGTATTTGAATAAAAGCATTTTATTCGGCTAGTTAATATATACAGTTATCAGAGTCATGCGCAATTCTGTCACGTTAAGTCACGTGTCAAGTTACGTTAAGTAAAAATTAAAAAATTTAAAAAAGATGCCAAAACCCGGGATCGAACCAGGGACTTTAGATCTTCAGTCTAACGCTCTTCCAACTGAGCTATTTCGGCTTTTTTAGTTATTTCTATAGAAGCTTCTATCTTTATAATTATGTATATTTTCAAAAAGTCAATTCACACCTCTTCGCTGGAGACCATGGGAATACTGACTAATTCATTATGCTAACATAATTATAAATACAAGTATCAGAGTCATCAACAATTCTGTCATCGTTTGCTTTTGTGAATGGAATAAATACCCAAATAGGGCCATTTCTTATAAGCATCGGTGGTTCAGTGGTAGAATGCTCGCCTGCCACGCGGGCGGCCCGGGTTTGCTTCCCGGCTGCTGCATTTTTTTTTTACAATTTTTAAAACTCATTTATATTATTATCCCTATGTATATAAAAGTCAGCGTATGTATGTATGTTTGTCAACTATACACGTCCACAATACGTAACTAATCTGACTGAAATTTTAACAGTATATAAAGTAGAATCTGGAAAACCTTTAGTGAGAATTTCAGGTCTCTATCCCGAATATCCGTCGTGTTATTTGCAAATTTGCTTTTTAGCTCGCGCCTCTAGCGGTGAAAATGGGGGGTAATACCAGCTGACCTAATGTACATGTAAAGTTTGGAGCTAAACGTGTCACATCTACGGCTCCAATTTATAATTGTAGCGAATAGTATTTGAATAAAAACACATAATCGGGTAAAACCCGGGCGTTGCCCGGGTCATTCGGCTAGTAGATATATAAATATAGATATATATTTTTTATTTTTATCCCACTTTCTCTGT